CTGTGTATCTAGGCTATATTTAGACAGCTGACTTGTTGTTTTAGACACCTCATTTAGATTTAAGTATAAACAGCCTGTGTTGAGATGCTTACTTACACTAGTGTTTTAGCTGGAGTGAGTTTGGGTGTGTAATCAGACCTTAGAGTTAAAAAAAAATAAAATTGGGGGATGCAGCTTGGGCTGGCCGCCACTATGCCTGCAGCCAGCTGTGCTCCCTCCTGTCCCACCTCCCGGTGGCCCCTCCTGCACCGGGGCACCCCTGGAGCTGCTCCGGGCTCCAGCTGGCCATCGCACCGGCCGGTGCTGGGACTGGAGCTGCTGCTGGCCCGGAGCTGCTGCTTGTAGTAAGGAAGTTTCCCCTTAACCTCCAGTAAGAGCCCCGCAGTGTTCCCAGTCATGAGCCAGTACTGTCTGGTGTGGGCTCTAAATCATGACTTCGCCTTTGGAGAAAAGGTTTAGAAATGAGGTGTGGAAATACAGTGCACCTCGTCCTGCCTCAGGTGGGCTTCAGGTGCTGAGAGGCCAGGTCATTGGAAAGACCCATGAGGAGCCTGGCAGCTGGATGAAGCAAGATTCTGTCTTCTCACAGCATCGGGCACTTGGATTTATCTCTGATTGGGGAGCATCCTCTGAGGGTGTTCTGGGGTTTGGAGAGTTCTGTGGCACCTTGTTACCTGTTGCTGCAGCAGGCTGCTTTCCCTGCGGTTTGCTCTTAACTTGTGTTTTATCTTACTCCTCTGAGCGTCGATGCTACGAGTTTCCATGACAACTTCCAAGCTAGCACATAGATGCCGTCCCTTCAAAACAAAAACGCTAACGTGGGGACTGTAGGACACTGGCAGTCAGAGCTGGTGACCTGGAGGGATGTCCCAGGGCAGGGATTAATCTTTAACTCCAGAACAGATCCAGCTGGTTGACTTTCTGGGAGCACTCTTCAGTGCAGTTAAAAAAAACAACCTTGGTAAGTGTGAGACGAAAATCCTAACTGTTCAACTTGGACAGATATCAGATGCCTACCTGATCTCTCCCCTGTCAGGACGTTTGTCTGTAGACATGGAAAAGACGTGACAAGTGTGACGCTGTAAAACCCCGGCTGGCCCGGGTGAGAAGTGTGCTCCCAGCTCCATGTGTCACTGGGGAGCTGGGATCTGAAATTCAGCCTTGGACAGTGATGAATCGTAGCAACAAGATCTCCCGTCTTGCCGAGCATGTGGAGGAATCTGCGAGGGCCGCTGAGTTCTTGGCCGATAAGGGAGCCTGTGCAAGGTGCTTGCTGGTGTGTCTGAGGCTGAACAACCAGTGAGCACGTGTAGACGCATCCAGCCTTTGAAACTGTGGCTCCCTCACGTGTTCAAGCTTGTCCTCCAGCTCCTGTTCTTGGGTTGGTTGGAGCAGAGGACAGTTCATTCGTGATTATTTCTTGTGACTGCGCTGCGTGCTTGAAGTGAAGTGTTGGAGGTAGCAAAACCAAATGCTGCTATTTGCAGGCGGAATTTTACGTCCTTTATTTCTCCTAAAGTAAAATTGTGACTCCTGCCCCAGCAGAAATGAGACCCTATGGGAATGGGAAAGGAAGAGATGTGCTGGCACTGAACGTCTGTGTCTTGTCTTTTCCCCAGTGCTGGATAAAGCATTGAGAGGAAGGCTACAGCGTGGTAGCTGGAGCCTGTGGAGAGGCATCCCCCTCCGCTGGTGGGCACTGATGATGCTACAAGCAAACCCAAGCAGCTAATTAGTGAATTTAAGCCCTGCTTTTAAATATGCAGATAGAGACTAGGGATTTATGCCGCAACGGTGCCTCCAGTATTGGTTTTGTTTGGATACTCACCAGCCAGGGCTAGTTGTCCCTCTATCAGTCTCAGCAGCTCCCCTGTTATTTGTCACTAAACTTGAGAAATGATTGCTACTGACTTACCTGCCACAGCACTTGGCACTGGAGGGTAGTCCAGGGTATCGCAATGAATTGCTCTGGGTTGGAGCTCTTGCCCGGAGGTAGCTGTTGCAGAGGAGATTGGCCCTGTGTCTCCCGTTTGCTTGATGTAGTCAAAAACAACAACAACAACAAAATCTAAAGCACAAAGATATTACATGAAATAAGTGATAAGAAATTAGGCAAATGGTTCGAAGCGGTAAGCTACCAAAGCTGAGTGAGTTAATGCTCAGCAGCTGGGCCGAAATGTCTGTTCTCTCCCAGGCAGCCCTGTCTGAGGTGAGAGCCCTGAGGCACCTTGTTCCATCTGAGGGGACTCAGCTGAGAAGGGTGCTGTGCTCCCCTTGCTGCTTGTCCTCTATGCAAAACTGAGAATTTCTGTTCCGCTCCTGCTGCGCGTGGTGTGAGAGCATCATCAGACCTGGTGAAGTGTCCAATGTTCTCCAGATTGCAGCTGGTGCCTTTCGACTCGTTGGGTCTGCTGGGGGGCTCAGGCATGGATCCAGTGCTGAGCACCAAGAGAACATCTGGACACGGCAGGAAGTCAGTGGTGCCAGGGCTGCTCTGCGGCTGCTTTTTCAGTCGGTGCGTTAAACAGCGTGGTGGGTAGGTGCTGGTCATCCCTTTTTGCAGGTGTAAAATGTGTGTGTGGTGATGAGTCTGCTTTATTTAGTGTATATAAGGGTAACTTTTTTTTAAAAAAAAAAAAAAAGGGCAACACAAAATATGCCTTGTGTTTGAGCTGCTGAGCCCCGCTTGGTGTGCAGGAGCGCAGGACTAGCTGAAAGCATCTCTGGGAAGCTGGTGTTTCTCGTTCTCGGGGCCGTTACCACGGCACATGGCTAGAACATAAAACTAGTCATGTTAATGCTGACTTTCGTAGAGGTAAATACAGCAACTGAGCTGTAAGTACCTACTTTAAAAGTGCCTCTCCAATATGGAGTTCCCTCACTGCGGAGTGAGGGTCTGACCTTTGTCTGATGACCGCCCTGCTCCGGGTTTAACAAACGAGGAATGACTGAACTGTCGCTTGTGTTCAGCAGCCGCTCGGGCTTCCTCTGGTAGGGTTTCTTCTGGGGTTTGTCAGTCCTTTGTGTGATGACAGAACATCCAAGTATTTATTGTTGATGCTGGCGTTCTGCCTGCTGCTTGGCTTGCTTATCCCAGCAGCTGAGGCAGGTGGGTCTGGCACAGGAAGCTGAAGGTAGTGCTGCCTTTAAAGGTCAAGAGATCTGAAAAGAGGGTAAGTGTAGGCCCCTTGCAGAGAAAGCGTTATGCTTTGCTTTGGAAAAATCTGTGTGATTATATCCTTCAGGAAGGATTACAAAATGGGAAAGCTTGCTCAGTTACAACCTTCGTGATTTCACAAATATTGCTGCTGCCAGGTAGCATTGGATTTTCTTGTCAGTCCAGGTTCTTCAGTTACCGTTGAATACAAAATGGAGCGGTGTGGCTCAACGGTATGTGGAAACACCATGCATCAATTTAAAAACCTCGTGTTGGAGATTAAATTGCCCTAATGCACAGCGAAATGAAAGTATCGTTACACGCTTGGAGCTCTGCAGGAAGAGAACTCCAGTTAAAACACCCAAACCGCTGCTCACGCACGAGTGCTTACCGGAATGTGGGTGTTGCTGCCTGGTTCTGGATGTTAAGAGGCTATCTGTACAGTGCTTATCTTCACAAATAATTTTAGAAAGCTGTATAAAAATTGCTGTCTATCTATACACCCCGATGGGATGTGGGAGGCAATGAAAACACTTCCCCAATCTGGAAATGGGCTGTGGGAGGCTTCAGGTTTCCCACGCCGGTGGAGTTGTGACTCCACGAGTTGGGTCTGAAAGCCCCACTGGCTGGCTCTCGTCCTCTTGCACTGAAACAGGCAATCGAGACAGCAATAAGTACTCAGGTACTCGGGCTTGATTGCGCATCCTGTCCTTGGGTTATAGATTTATGTCTAGTTTAGTAAAGCAGGGCTGTCAGCCAGGGCGTGGGTTGGGATGAAATGCTGACGGCGCGGTGGGTTTTGGGCTGGGGACCAACAGGGAGAAGCAAGGAACGCAGCAGAGGTGGAGGGGCGGGTTGTGAGAGCGAGCTGTGAGGGAGGCTCTGTCGCTGATCCCGCATTCACACGGTGCTTCCCGAAGCGGTGGTGTGCGATTGGGGTGTCTGCAGGGCTCGGAGCCGTGTACCCATGCAAATATGTCCTGTATCACTGAAATGATGGCGAGGCTTTGGCAGAAGGAAGCCCCAGCCGAGTTACAGGGAGGCTGAGCGAGCTGAAGTTGGAGTTCCCTGTTGGTACGCTTCGGACACGATCCCCTGGGTTCCACTGCAGCGTTGGTGTGCTCGGTGGCAGCTGCGTTTTGCAGTGTTTGAGCCTGCTCCTGACACTTAATGAAACAGCCTGCGAGTAGTTTTGGGATCGCTGAAGCAGCTTGATGAAAACCCGCTTCTGGAAGGATAGCGCTTGGTTAGGTGACTGGTAATCACTGGAAATTCATCAGGTGATACCTGCCCGTACTGGTAACGACCCCTGGTGCCCACGACTCTGCGGGAACTAATTCAGAATGTGGAAGGATGGTCCAGCCGCATTTTTTTGTTGCCAGCACTAGCGCTTTGCCAGCAAGGACTTCTGCAGGAGCTGGAGGATGACCAGCACTTTCGCTTTATCCATGCTCTCAGCAACATTTGCTGTTACCAGCGTGGACCTGGGGGCTACTAAGTGCAGTGACAGACATTTCTCTTATTTTTTCTTTTTTCTGTCCCCAAGGCAAGTGCTTGCTGCAGTGAATTTGGCACCAATTCCCCTGCCAGCTAAGATTTCTCACTGTACGGTACCTTGCTTAGGACGTTCCATAGCAAACAGGATTTCCACAGATATTTGGGGTATCTTGGATGAAAAGCGTGCAGGATGAGACAGAGCTGTGGTGTGCTGTGCCTCAGCATCTTCTGCCTTTTCAGTCCGGAGGATTGAGATAGTGTGCATTTGTATTTGTCATGTTATTTGTGACAAAGTATCATCTGGGGTCACTAAATGCCGTCTCTCTCTCTCTCTCCTTAGCTGAAGCTTGAAGATCGCTCTGTGGTCCCTCGAGATGTGGTCAGACATATGAGCTCCAGCGTAAGTGCTTTTCTCTCTTGCCCCTTTTTGATTGTGACACTGCTGCATGGATTTGTAAGACTTGCCAAATGGCCTGAATGGAACTGAGCAGTAATGCTTTGAGCACCTTCTATTTTTAGTGTGTTTGATAGATCTAGCTGCATCCTTTGAAAATGGAATGCTGATAAGGCTGCCTCTCTACTGTTGCATATCTGCAAAGGTCTCCTGAGCAAACGAGCCTGATAATGTCAGGGAACGAGACAAAAGGCTTGTCTGTCCTGCCATCCTTCAAGTTTTGAATCTGTCCATTCTGAGATCTGGGGACTGCAGACCTGCTCTCCCACACCTGACAGGGAGGCCGGAGCGGAGGAAGACGGCATCACTGCCGTGTGCCTTCTGGTGTGCTGCTGCAGAGAATTTGGGGGAATGTTTTCAGGAAGACCTCTCAGTTTACAGTTGTCTCAGTTTAGAAGACAGGTGACTGCCAGGGGAAACCAGAGCCTCCCTTGGAACAGGGAATGTAAACCCCCCCACCTCCAAATTGCTATAATTTTGAAATTATGGGGCGTTCAGGCAAAGATATGGGGATAGGAATACCAGTTCTTTACTAAGAATATTGCAAACTACAGAGGTAATGGTACAGAGAAAAGAACAACAACAAACAAATAATCCCAGAACCTCTGACAGAGTTGGAATACGACCTGACTTGGGAACAGTCCAAAATAAGTCCAAATTAAAGTCCTCCTGGAGTGGCAGATGCGGCTCTGTTGGAGCAGAGATGATCCGGTAGAGGGGTTCCAAAAAAAGTCCTCCTCTATGGCGAAATGGCAGCGGCTCTGGCCAGCGCTCCTTGAGGGCCGCGTGGCGGGTCTGGCTCCAGGCGGTGGTGGCAGCGCAGGGTGACAGGGCAGGGCCGAGGTTCCAGCGGCAGCGGCTTTTGGCTAAGGGGGGGGG